TATTTAAACATATTAAGATTTAAAAAAAAACAAACATTATATTCCACTCCAGAAATCCACAAAATGGGTATATGTACAGTATAATTATGTCTAAAAGTAAATGACAATATAAAATTCTGAATTCCAAATCAAACAAGATGTGTTTGTGAAACACTGATGCCCCCATATGGCAGCTTATGGCGAAGGTTAAAGTTTCTCAAATGCAAGTCAAAATCCTGGCCAAAAGATAAAAAATGTTGATACCCAAAGAAAGATCTTGTCTCGAGGAAAACACCTGTGAAATTTGAAAGACCTAGATACAACTGTTCAAAAGTTATGGTGAAGGTTAAAGTTTTTTAAATAAAAGTCAAACGTAAAGGTCAAAGTGGTTGGTATCCAAAGGAAGATCTTTTCACAAGGATTACATATGTGAAGTATGAAAGCCCTAGCACCAACCATTCAAAAGTTATGGCCAAGGTTAAAGTTTTTCAAAAGTAGGTCAAACTCCTAGGTCAAGGTCAAAGGGTCAAAGTGGTTTGTATCCAAAGGAAGGTCTTGTCTCAAGGATTACATATGTGAAGTATGAAAGCCCTAGCACCAACCATTCAAAAGTTATGGCCAAGGTTAAAGTTTTTCAAAAGTAGGTCAAAATTCTAGGTCAAGGTCAAAAGGTCAAAGTCGTTGGTATTCAAAGGAAGGACTTGTCACAAGGATTACATATGTGAAGTATGAAAGCCCTAGTTCCAACCATTCAAAAGTTATGGCCAAGGTTTAAGTTTTTCAAAAGTAGGTCAAACTCCTAGGTCAAGGTCAAAAGGGTCAAAGTGGTTGATATCCAGAGGAAGGGCTTGTCACAAGGAATAAACATGTGAAGTTTGAAACCCTAAGCACCAAATGTTCAAAAGTTATGGCCAAGGTTAAAGTTTTTCAAAAGTAGGTCAAAGTCCAAGGTCAAGGTCAAAAGGTCAAAGTTGTTGGTATCCAAAAGAAGGCCTTGTCACAAAGAATACACATGTGAAGTTTGAAACCCCAAGCTCCAACTGTTCAGAAGTTATGGCCAAGGTTAAAGTCTCATAAAATTTTGCAAAAGTGGGTCTAACTCCAAGGTCAAGGTCAAAAGGTCAAATATGATGGTACCCAAAGAAAGGTCTTGTCACAAGGAATACACATGTGAAATATGAAAGTCATAGCTCCAACCAATCAAAAGTTATGGGCAAGGTTAAAGTTGACAACAGACAGACAAACAGACAAACGGACAGACAAACAAACAGACAAACAGATAAACAGACAAACAGACAAGCAGGACAAAAACAATATACCCCCGGGATCTTTCGATCCGGGGGCATAAAAATGCTCTAATTTATACATGTATATCCTGAAATATGATATAGTTGCATATATTAACTATCTTGGAACACCACAAAATAATACTGCAAAACCAAATGAGATGCATTTGTTAAATGCCCCTACATGCACATGTATCAATCACCTTGATCTTGACAATGGTTCTGATTGCGATATAAAAAAGCTCCTTTCAATAAAGTAAATGTAAACTCCACAAAATTGACATCATATTTAAATAATGACCAACATGTTTTACTTTCTGTACCTTGTTTTGAGGATTACATGTATCAATGAGTACAGGAGTTATGTACATTGTTATAGGGATTATCAATGATTACAGGAGTTATGTACCTTGTTCTGGGATTATCAATGAGTACAGGAGTTATGTACCTTGTTCTGGGAATCATCAATGAAACAGGAGTTATGTACCTTGTTCTGGGGATTATCAATGATTACAGGAGTTATGTACCTTGTTCTGGGGATTATCAATGAGTACAGGAGTTATGTACCTTGTTCTAGGGATTATCAATGAAACAGGAGTTATGTACCTTGTTCTGGGATTATCAATGAGTAAGGGGTTATGTAACTTGTTCTGGGAATTATCAATGAAACAGGAGTTATGTACCTTTTTCTGGGGATTATCAATGATTACAGGAGTTATGTACCTTGTTCTGGAGATTATCAAAGATTACAGGAGTTATGTACCTTGTTCTGGGGATTATCAATGATTACAGGAGTTATGAACCTTGTTCTGGGGATTATCAGTGATTACAGGAGTTATGTACCTTGTTCTGAGGATTATCAATTATAACAAACACCAGGAACACACTGGCCTCCCGTGCCTGTCTGACAGCGGATCTCACTGTCTCCATTCCCTCATTAAATAAGCCCCGCCCATCAGACACGATTAGCAGCAACTGTGACGTCTCCGGATTTCCCAGCATTCCTCGCTGTCTGGAGTGAGCGTCCATCATCACTGATGTGGCTTTCTTCAAAAGCTGAAAGGAGATTAGAGTAAGTTTACACACAGTCACTTGTTATCATTACCTCAATATAAGTCTGCAAGAGTTATAGTGCCCCCTTCCTTTTTTATGCTTACGGATGTAGGGAATATAAGAAGTCCCCATCTCTTTATAATTGTCTACATCTGATACACACTCTAGACCTCACAATTGAAACACTTCACTCTTGTTATCATAACTTTCATCAGCTACAGTTTGTGCACATTTACTATAGAATTTTTTTCAGTCATACCTGAGCCACTTTAGTTTTCTTCTGTTCAAAAGTAAACTGCTGTAACAATCTGGATCCTGAGTGACTTGTGAACTGCTCAGTGAAAGGGTGAAGAATTTGTACAGACTCTCCAAAACTGTGGATATAATTTTCATCAATTATTAAATGAACTTCCTGCAGTATAGTTCTAACATATGTACATTAATTGATATCTTGTAAAACTCTACATCATTTTGTTTATTAAAGTTTGACTGCTGATCTAGGGTGCAAGGAGTCTACCTGGATGAATAGTTCACCCTACTACTGCCTAGGTGTATACACCTGGCCACTAGAGTTAGTCACCCAGTAACCATTTAATTTGGTTACTGTCCTTGACATGCAATTGACAAGGATTATAAAGACATTAGATTAATGCTTTTTCCAGTCTTTATAATATGAGTATGTGCAATACATGCATACATATAACTATGTTACATATACATGTAGCCTTTCTCTTTACACACAAATACCCTTGATACAATCTATCTAATCTCACAAGGACTTTTTTCCCTTGTACTCCTTTGTGTAATATTAGGATTTCACCTACAGTCTTTATTCTCTAACAGAAGAATCACAATAATCCATTATGTGTCTTTTTAAAACAAGGTACTTTTCAAATGAGTAGAAATACATAGACAATTACTTACTTTTACAATGATCTATAGCATACCTGCAGATACTCAAATCCCCTGCCTCTAACAAGGTGAGAGCATTAGAAATCAAAGCCAGGGACTCAAACGCCAACTGAAAATAAAAATCTGTAGATATGACTACTATTTTATGTAGATTAAACATAAATATTCAAATCATTTTTTTTTCACTATTTTGCTTTTCATTTTTGAAAATCAGATTGAGTTTTGTTATTTCCTTTGTTCATCATTCATGTTTTAACAATGACCTTTTTTGGATGCTCTAATCCTGACCCTAACCTCCTGGTATTTTTTTACTGACCTGTTTGGAGTGATTGTCTACCATACTTGAGGAGTCGTCTATGGCCAGCATGATCTGGTACTGTCGTTTGCTGGGTTTGGTACGATGGAGCCAGATTTTGTCTTTCCTGAACTGACTGGCGATGTAAGGAATGACTTTCCTCATGTTTAACCTTTTACCAGTTCTGTAATCTCCCCTACAACACATCAAGTAACTTACATACAAATCTGACTATAATTACACAGGTATGTAAGGAATGACTTTCCTCATGTTTTAACAATTAATACCAGTTCTGTAGTCTCCCCTAATACACATCAAGATATTGTTAAATATTTATTAATAAGTAACATGGTAACAGTTTGTAAAATTACACAAGTATGAATTTGAATTTTTTTAAAGATTACACTAGGAAAAAAAAATGATCATGTAGCTTATAATGCTAACTTAAGATTTTATAGAAAACTGCTGGTCTGTGGTCAAGTGTATTGTACATTACCTTTTTCTTTGATGGTCAGTGCTAAAAATAACAACTGGGCTCCTTGTGTAAACCATATCTTTAAGGTCCTTGCCTGTGTTCTCTTGAGTAAATATTATTTGTTTTGTTGCCTACATGGGTTTAACACCAGCTTGAGCTGTTCACACCCTCACTTTAATGTTTGGACCTCACCTGAATATGTAACATTTTTACTAGCCCAAGTTGTTCATACACCTTATCTCAGTTTTATGGCCTGCAAGAGGCAAGGGTTCTAACACCAGCCTGAGTTGTTCACACAGTTCCTGGGACCTTACCTGAGTTTTGTGGCCTGTGAGGGTTCTAACAGTAGCCTGAGTTGTTCACAGAGTTCCTGGGACCTTACCTGAGTTTTGTGGCCTTTGAGGATTCTAACTCTAGCCTGAGTTGTTCACACAGTTCCTAGGACCTCACCTGAGGTTTGAGGCCTGTGAGGGCTCTAACACTAGCCTGAGTTGTTCACACAGTTCTTAGGACCTTACCTGAGTTTTGTGGCCTGTGAGGGTTCTAACACTAGCCTGAGTTGTTCACACAGTTCCTTGGACCTCACCTGAGTTTTGTGGCCTATGAGGGTTCTAACACCAGCCTGAGTTGTTCACACAGTTCCTGGGACCTTACCTGAGTTTTGTGGCCTGTGAGGGTTCTAACACTAGCCTGAGTTGTTCACACAGTTCCTGGGACAGAGTTGATGTCAGAGCCTCATATCGATGCCAGGCCCTCTGATGCTGCCTCCTCCTGTCAATCATTGATGAAAAAAAATCATTTCCTTTCATTCATTTGACCCCAGAGTGTCACATGTTTACAAAAAAACTGGTGTTCTGTTACAATATGTGGATTGTGTGCGTTGTTATAAATAATTCCATTGCTGATTATATTTAGAATATACTGTCAGTAATACTTACTGCTTCTGCTGTGTGATTTACTGTGTTGGTAAAAGTAGATAACTGTTCCTCTAACTCTGATCTGAGCTTCTCCATATCCAAGTCAGAACCCTGGAAAATTGATATAAAATAATATTCATCCAGTTCCACAATAAGTTAAAAGAAAGCTCTGAATCTACAGAAGGAGTAAAAATACCATGTATGTTGTCTATTGCCCTACCCTGGCTTCTAGGTGGAGATTCTCCAGTGTGGTGTGAATTGTAGATTCTGGCCCCCTTGAGGCCCCCAGTGTTTCCTTGACAACACCCTCTGTTTCATACTTCATTATCTCCTCCTGATCTTCATTCATCCCTTCTTCATTCATTCCTTCCCTTTTCTTGTTATGTTTGTCTTTTGTGTTTATGTGAGATGAAAGCTTTTCAACCGTTTCATCCATTTCCTGGGGAAAAATCAAGACTTCTTATAAACTGTATAACATGATTATCATTTCACAGTATCTGAACCTTCTCAGCTGATATTCTAAACAAAAAAATTGTATAAAGATATGGGTTTCCCTCATTATACAAGTAATTTTTATTATCATTTCCATTGCATAAAACTCTCCAAATTCTGACATGTGCTGCACAAGTTTCTTTTCTCCCCGCCCACCTGTTCATCGTCCTCTTCCATCTCCACCTCTTCCTCCTCCTCCACCCCTCCATTCTCTTGATCCACCTCTCTGTTAGGTACAGCTTCCTCCATCTGTTGTTTATCAGTGGCGACATCTAGTGTCTGGGCATCATGTGATGATTTCGCATCCTTGATATGTTCATACAGCTCTGACACTTTTTCTGTAGAATCTTGATTTTCCTCGCTCTACAAAATCCATGAAAAATCTCAATGAATAAAAGGTGATTCTTCAAAACAAAAAATCAAAATCACAAAAAAATGATTATTATTTTTGCACTCCAAACATTTTGGTAACATGGTTTAATTTGGACAGACAAAAATACCTCCTCTGTGGCAGAAGATTCTTCTATGGTCTTCAGTTTCTTAAACTGGTTCTCATTGGATCCCAAACTCCTGTCTTCATTTGACTGACCAGCTTTTCGTTTCACAGACTAGAAGTAAATAAAATATCACAAAAGGATGTGTAAAGGGTGAAAAGCTAATGATAAATGTCTTTGACTTACATAGATCAAAACTTCTGGCTTTAATTTCTGCAAGGAAACTTACATGTACATACTATGATTTGGAATCCATTTATCATCCATTATATCAAAGTGTATGTCATTATATGTAAGTAACAATAAAACTAATGACTGAATACCTTCTGAGACTGATTAGTGGAGGATGGAGCAACCTTTGAACCTTGACCTTCATGACCCTCTTCGGCTTCTAAATTTGAAGTGCCTGTTCCTTCACTCTGTAAATAAGTTCATTCAGTTAAAAGTTTAATTATCATACACATGAAAATGCGGAACTCTATTTATTTTATCATAGAAGAATTGTATTCAACCATAAAGTATGAAGACATGTTCAATTGTTCATGTATACATATGTATCTTGGAATTTTTTCTTTGCCAAAAAAAGTTTTAATCCTCTAAATACCTGTAATACAGATATACAATAGAATGAAATAAAGAATTATATTCTTTGATAAGAAGGTCTTTAATTTACAGAAATCAAATCAATATCTTAAAATTAGCAGCCATTTTTTGCATAGAAAAATAAGTTGCCCTGCCTCAATAAAGCCCAATTAACCTCTTTCTGGTCATTGTCTGGTTCCCCTCCCTGATCCTGGGCTGATTCTGACTGCTCTACATTCTGGGAATCATGGGAAGTCTTCCCATAAGTCTCTGCTGCTTGGGGTTTGTCATCCTTATTCTTAGAGCTGTCTTCTTCATCCTCTGCACTGACATCTCTTGGTTCATTCTGCAGTATATGCAACTAATCATTATTTCAACAACTTAATAGGAATCACCGAGAAACTGAAAGTATTACCTCCCATTACATAAATTTAATAAATTCCTGAGAAACTGAAGATATTTACTTCCATTAAATAAATTTTAATTTAGTAAGATCTTTGTTATGGTCATTACCTGAGCAGAAAATCCTTGATCCCTCTCTTCTTCCTCCTCTTGCCTGGTTCCCAGTTCTTTGTCTGGTTCCTCTCCAGTCTGGTTGTCCTGGTCCTCTGACATTTCTGGCTCCACTTCCTACAAATATACATAACACAGCATATTGTATTAATAATTTCTGTTTTTGCTATTTGCATTTTTAATAAACCTGGTCTATTAAAAACAGCTTTGGAATCCTTTAATACATAACCTAGCTATGAATAACTGCAGAAAGAAATTTTATGATCTATGATGCAAATCAACACAATTTCTTACTTTACATGATTTTCTAGCCATTCATCAAATGCTGGATAAATTTGACTTCACAATGTATCATGAAATGTTCAAAGTTTCATTACTTATTCTTTTCTTATAGTTCTTACCGGAAGAGTGTCCTCCCTTGTTTCTTCCATGTCTTTATTATCTCCCTTGTCTTCTGTTTCTGTCATCTCTGTGTCACCACCAGGGGGCTCTGATGGAGGCTCTTCTGCATAGAGTAATAATAAATGGTAAGTATATGAGGACACATTCATTTAATTTTTGCAACAAAAGGTTTTTAAAAGGTTTTGAACTGTTACAGTGAGGGTATTTTTTTTTATGTATTTTCTTATTTCAAGACAGTATTTTTTCAGTTATATAGCTATTTTTACTGACCTTGACCTTGTTCTTCCTCCGTGACCCCAGCCTCTTCTTCATCCAGTTTCAGGTCGTCAGGGAGATCCATGTTGTCAGGGGCCTGCTGAGGTTCCTGGTTACCATGGTTAGGGTCAATTCTGTCATCATCATATTCTGACTACAATACACAGAGTCAATGTTAATGCTATTCATTTTTCACCTATTCTCAATGAATGATTTTAAGCATTAGTACCTACCTCATCTATCTGCTCCAGTTCCTGTGTTGTCTGGTTCTCATCATTCTCCTCAGCCTTGTTTTCATCTGTCGTCTGCTTTTCTGATTTGTCGTCTGCTTCTGTCTTGTCTTGGTTGTCATCCTTAGCAACCAGTTCACTCTTCTGCTCCTGCTGGGATCCTGGGCCAAATTCTTCTTTCTCCTTTTTTAATCAAAATTTTACTTTGGTCATAATTTTACTTTAGTCAATTAGATAACTTTAAAAATTGACAAATATAGAATTACATCATCTTAATTAAGCAGATCTGTACTTAAATTATATTTATACTAATTTTATCTAGCATTTGAAGCAGAAAAAATATCCCTAAAAATTTTATGCATGTTTTCTCTGAGACTAATGACTGAATTAAAACCTTTTTTTCAATATTAAAATAATAGTTATGACCTTTCTGTACTCACCCCCTGATCCTCCCCCTCCTCTTCATCACTTCCCCACATCTGGTCATCTAACTTCTCTGTGTCATTCCCATCCACTTCTCCCATCTGTCTATCCAGCTCCTCTTCCTTCCCATCATCCTCTTCATCTGACCTTTCCTCTTGATCTGCTGCCTCGAGGTCGTGAACTTTGCCCTCAAAGTCATCAGACATCTCTATGGCATTCTCCTCGGACCTGATGTCCGGCTGCTGGGAGGAATCTTCCTCTTTTCTGTCCTCTCCTGCTTTCCTGGCTTCATCAAGCTGTTTAAAAATATTTAAAGGAGATCTCATTATTAGAAGAATCAAAAATTTTAACACATGTTGGAACTAAATAAGATTTGGGTTGCCTTCTACAACACAAAAATATGTTGAATTCAATCCTAAATTTCATCTCTGATGTATTGATTAAAGGACTTATCGCATGTTTCTTAATTATTTGAAATTAAAAGCGTAAAACGTTCCTTATGACCACAGTTTATAAATTTTGTGTTTTTGTTGCAGGTAAACCGCGGTAATTAACCAATTATTGACTCAAATGAAAACCCCTGAATTAAAAATCTAAGTTAATTAGATAGCGATCACGTGACCCTGTGACGTCAAAGGCGACAATGGCTGATCAGTTCTATAGTTAATCTTACTAAAATATACGCGATACAACATGAATATTCTGCATTGTGGACGGCCACATTTCTGATTTTATCGATATGAAATTGAATATCCAACCTTATATTTTAGAATTGTCAGCAAGAAAAAATCTGAAAAATTTGCTAACATTGTAAAAATAGCAGCGACGATATCGAAGGAGACGCGGCGAAGACGAAGAAACTCGCCATCGCAATACAATTTGATTTGTCATCTTATCACATGTATTAACTGATTAATTGATTTACAAATTTAATATTGTATAACCTTGTTATTCTTCGTTTTTAGCATAACATCAATTTTCTTATGTTTTGTAAAGGATGGCAGTCTTGAAAAATAATTTTCCGATCACAAAACATTGCCTTAATCGGAGCTGTGCAGATTCTGAATGTTTCGGGAAAAAAAAAACGAAAATATCTCAAAAGCCTATACCTTAGAACTAGTTTATGTTTCTATAGTAATTAAAAAGCACGCTAGGAATTAATTTTTTCAGAATTTTTCGTAATTAAGCTGCGTTTGTCTTCATAGCTCCGTAAATAGTTTACATATTCTCATTTCTCTATCACTGAATTGTCGCCTATGACGTCAGAGCAGTATTTCGCCGAAATCCGACTGAAATATGCATATTGCCGTATTTGAATTTCAACTCTCAATATCTCTTAAAATATGCTTTCAATAGCGTTTATTGTAATCAGTATTCTAATAAACAAGGTTGTAGATAATATTTTTCATAAAATTACGATTTTTGAAAGATCATGCGATAAGTCCTTTAAAACTGATGTTCTTTACCTGGTCTTCATTCTCAATCTGATCACTGACGTCCTTGACCCCTTCACCTTGACCTAACCCCCCTCCCTCAATGTCCTCAAACTCTGTAGCTCCCTCCCCTGCCACCTCATCCTCAAACTCACCGGGAACACAGAACCCCTATCAAAAAAAACAAAAATCTTACAGTTTACAGTATTTAGAAAAACAAGCATATACATGTGTATTTTGTCTTAAAATTAACAGTATTTTCAGCATCCCTGAGAGACACAAATAATATGCATTAAAATTTATAATTGGAGAAATAATTATAAGTAATTAACTTTTCCAACATTATGATGTTGAAGCATACACACTGTAGTTTTAGGAAGTTGTGTTCACATGAGAACTATAATGTGGTCTTTCTTACTTTAGAGGCCAGTTCAGTGAAGACGGCCAACAGAACAGACAGGAGTTTCCCTGTCACCCTGTTCTCAGCCAAACTATGAAGTAAGTAGTACTCCACCATGTCTCGGTACTGCTGTACTAATGGTTGACACTGTCCTAGAATCTGGACAAAGGTCAGGACATCTGACCTTGTGTCTGTAAGGTCAAGGACATCCTTCACTAAACTCTGGAGAGACTGAATTATCTGCAAATAAAAATAAACAAAATAATAATTATTTTTAAAATATTTTGAATATGCAGGGCATATATTAGAATGAAAACATTGGAAACATATTAAAGAAACAACAAAATAAAGAAATTTAATTCATTTACCTTTTTCAGTTGAAGGCATTGTTTATCTCCCTTTAATCTTTCATCAAGATGGACGACTAGATGTCCCTCTAAAAATGTCCCAGTATCCTCTTCTATAAAATTAAATATCTGTTAGAGAACAGAATATGTCCTATTATAACACTGTGAATAACAACAGATTGCGCAAACCTAATACCTTTCTCCATTTCAGCACTCTGTTTGTGATTCTGTGTAAGTTCCTGTACACTCAGTAACAGACCAGCAATCAGATTCTCCACCTTTCCACTAAATGTCTCCACCTCCATCCCCTCTCTACTGTCATCACTTCTGATATGTCCTACATCAGACCTTGATGGTTCTAGCCCTAATCTCTTTACCTGATCCTTATCTGACCATGTGTTGATCTGTGTTTTTGACTCCATGTTGACCCAGTGTGTGAATTTTTCAGACCTGGTCTGTATTTCCTGTCTGAGGTACCTGACTGTCTCCATAAATGAGGGCAGAGTTTTGTCTTCAGGGTCACAGAAGTGTTTCTCTATCTCTGTCAGTCTAGGTACACAGTTAGTTAAATCTCTGTACACAGATCTCACTTTCTCAAGGTCACTCCTGTAATGAGAAGCAGCATTTACCTTTTCAATTATAGCAAAATACTTGAGGCTTAAAAAGATTTTAGGGTTAAATTCAATTTTTTTCTAGTCCTAAATATACACTGCAAGTAACTCATGAACAATAACTTAAAAAAAGGAAAATTAGGAGGAAAAGATTCATTTCATTGTGAATTTTTATTTTGGCGTACCATGTGATGAGTTGTTTCTTTGTCAGAGGTATTGTACAGTCAAACAATGTGTTGGCCTTCTGTTGTAAAGTCTACAAGAGTAACCAAATCTAATGTCTCAAATTATTAACCTTGCATGTTTTCCATAATAATAATACACAAGTGTGGCTCCAACGTAACAAAACAAAATGTCTTCATTTTTTTAATCGCTTAATTTAAAGTTATCAGAAAGATATGTCAATGAGCAGATATGACTTCTGATAAAAATCCTGTTTATTGCAAAAAGAGAAAAAACTAAATATTAGAAACATCTTAAATTGTCTGCTTAAAATACAAGTTTTAAAATCTAAATGTGACCAGAAAAGCCCCAACCTGAATATAATCAAAGCAGCGTTTCCACTGTTCGTCACCATGCTTCATCAGGGCTGACTGTGACAATTGATTTCTGGGAAATGGAGACAGATAGTGAGTTATCTCCTCTTGTTGTCGTGGACAACACTGAAGTATGACCTTGACCTGAATAAGACCCTCCTTCATGCTGACTAAGAAAGATATAAGGGATTCCTGAAAATGTTACAGAATTGTGAAATTAAGGAAAACATGATTTTAATATAATAGCAGGTTTTTATGCACACCTTAGATCTTATGAATTGAAATTACACAGACATGTATGTCAACACCCAAAGATCTTTCATTTAGTTCCTTTAACACATACATGTATTTATATTTGAAAAAGAACTGAACAGGTGCTTCAATAAAAATATTGTATAAAACAATTAGAGTGATTTTTTCTACATTTGGCTGTTCCAATACGTACCACATACTCCCTTGTTGCCTTCTGTGGAGGGGGTGTTCCATTAATTGAACACAGATCCTTTAACACTTCAGACAAGGAGCTTAAATTGTACAATATGAAATTGTATGCTAAAGGCTAATGTATTACGTATTAATTAAATTATCTAAATATTTTGAAATTCCTTAAAACATCTTTATAATGTTGTAATGAATAAAATACCAGCAAATCTGCAATTATACCACTAAGAAATTGCCATATTGTGACCTTTGACCTACCTTAAAGATAAAAAAGCCTTGTGCATCTCCACCACCCCAGAATACTGATCCACCACTACCTTCATTAAGTGTTCAGTGAATCCTTTACACCTTTCTATATTCCCAACACCTAGTTCCTAAAAATTTAAAAAAAAAACAATTCACACAGAGCCGATTTAACTACCAGTATCATCCTTTGAAATGCATTTATTTATATTCCTCACCTTGGATGGAGTTAAATCACACAGAGCCAATAATAATAATGCAACTTTATAGCTACCAGTATCATTCTTTGGTGATGTGATCTGGAATGCATTATATATCTCACCTTGGAGGGAGTTTGTAGAGCTGTGGCTCTTCTGGCAACACATTTATAGTAGTAGTCATGGCAACTCTGACCTATTTCTGTAGCACTGTTCTTACTAATGGAAAAATAAACGCAAGTTTACACACTGCATACATGTACAGGTAGATCGTGACTTTTTAAAATCAACTGAGTGATAAGTCATCTTTTATATTTTATGTACAATTTTTTTTCAAGTTATGAACACTCTACCTTGTGGTGAATTTATCTGAGCAGACAGAGACATCTAGTGGTGGGACAGGTAAAGGGAGATTACTCTCAGCATCACAGAGAAGTCCCCTCCTGTATGAATGCCCTGTATAAAGATGAGAAGTACATGTATATAGTTTAGTAACATTAACAGTAAGAAGTTCTATTTTATTGATTATAAGTTATTATCATTGTATGTAATGTTACAGGTACAGTATATACTAAATATATATATGTGTGTACAGTTGATGTCATAATGTACTGATTACTAATATGTAAAGAAATCAAATGATTGCGCCCATGGGAAAAGGGCCCTTATGGCAATTTTTACACATTTTAAGTTTTTCATGGATTTTAGTAGAGCAAGGTTAGAAGTTGCCAAATCTGAAATTTTATGGCCCTACGTCAACTCTAAGTAGTTTTTTTCTTCATTTATATCAATGATACTTTAACAGGTTAACAATGACGTCATGTTACTTTCGCACCAACGTCAAAAGTTTTCAGAGTGAACATGACTTTCACTTTGCATTGTAATGTTACTACGGTAATAAATGTATGTTATTGAGCATTTCCAGACACATTTTTGAGTCATTGTCTCTTTTAATAATTGTATAATATGATAATAAATAGCTGTATTAACTATTATCCATCATGCAGTGGTGTATAAAATTATGAGTGTTTGTTCGTTTGTTTGTTTTACATTTCACTATGCTGGAATGTCAGGAAAACCCGAGAAGCAAGCGGCTTCTGTTTAATATCAATTTATTCTCTCAAAACCAAAGTATTTATCTCGTGTAATAATCGTTTGAGAAACCTGTAGAATTCATTCGAAAATCATCTCATTTTAAGCATGGCTCTCGATAGGACAAGATGTCATTTTGGGGGGGTTGGGGGGGGGGGGGTTGAATCCAGTATAAACGATATCTCTTTCAAATTGTGAAGTTAAAAAATATTTCAAAAAAATTCTCAGGAACAACAATAAAAATAGATGCTGCTGGGTAGTGAATTTGTTGTTGTTGTTGTTTTTTTGTTTGTTTGTTTTTTTTTTTTCTAAATATAATTAGACAGAAAATTTGTGAAATGTAGTGAGTTACCGTATACGCTGTACAACAATTTAAGGACATTAAATTGATACACTGCATGTTAAGCAATATTCGATAAAAATTTTTCAAACAAAAATTCAGAAGGACTTCTGCCTGCATGTGGTAACAAAACTTCTTTTTTTAAATTGAATACACATTTTTCAGTCACAGCAAGGAAAATTCTTGAATAATTAGTTTTGAATAAGCAGGTTGACAAATTATAAACAAATGGATGAATAATAATTCACATGCATTAATGAAAAGGAACAGATCCAGGATGACCAATGGTTGGATTGTGTGTGTGAGTTGGGGGGGGGGGATAAATGTTAAAGGGTTTTTATCACGTTTCAAAATTTTTTGATATGACAAAGTTTACATGCTATTAAAATCATATATTTAAAAATTTTTGCTAGAAAATTAATATTTTTGATGTTTCAGCGATTCAAAGTTTGAATTTCTCAATATGCATATTTTGATCGCGATGTTACGCGCCATTGCTCTGACGTCATAGGTGTCAATCCTGGTCAAGCGAAGTACTTATTGTGTATACAAAAGGGCTCATTTGTTGTGTCTTTTAAACCTGTTAGAAAATAATTAAGTGATAATTGAATAATTGACAACTTGTAAGGTATAATTTATGGCTTTATGATGCACAAATGTGCACAGGAAAGGTTTTAGGAAGAATTTTTCCCCCACATTTCTTGTTCGAGAGATAAAAGGGGGGCCTTTCTCTGCAAATGCGATGGCGTTTATCTCCATTCAGAACAATCGTTTATGCCCGATCGATCACGATTTTTTTTTCTGTCCTATAAAATATTTTAAGGAAAGATACTTTTTTTAAAAAAATAATAAATGACAAACACGCATTTTTTAAAAGTCGCACAGAATCTAGTAGGAATGTTGTGAACATCGTAATGGCGTACGGCGCGATTGAAGAAGTGTCATTTCTTACTAGTACATGATATGCACTGCTAGAACAGATAGAAGATATACAGGATTTATTTATTTATAACTGATTAAAATAATAATGAAGAGGAATTTAAAATTCCCATATTTATGAATGTTTACGAAGTTAAACTTTAGTAATTCGTTCTATTTAGTTGAAGTCCCGAGTTGTCAACGGCTTCGTCTTCGGTGACCTCTCTCCAATTGTCGGCATATTTTCGGGTTATTTCTCTCTGCTAGACGTTCATACCTAAAAGATTGACCGTCCATAACCAAAGGAATATATCTATGTCAAAATTTCAACCGGCCATACTGTGTATTCTATTTAATTACCTTAAAAATCTATTCAATATATTTTTTTCTTACGATAAGCTTTACGAGTTCTATTGACCATTGACACCTATGACGTTTCAGTACCACGTGACCCCTATCTAATTAGTGGAGATTTTTACTTCGAGGACCCTTTATTACGGGCGTTTTATCGTCTAATTACGGCTGTTTTCAACATTATTTCATTATTAAACGATAATAATATGTTTCAAGAATATAATAGTGTTTCATTTTTAAGAAATTTAGATACGTGATAAAAACCCTTTAAATGACAGAAACGTGCAATACTTGTAGTTAACATGAGTTTAATAGCATACGAGGGTTGTCGTATTTTTAAAATCTTCCTAAATTTTAGGTGTGCGGGGGGGGGGGGGGATACCTTCCCACCACCAACCCCATAACCTCCAAATACGTCATTTGGTTAGGTTTGAAATAATATTGAAATAATTCCTCAAATTATTTTTGCACCTTGAACTCTCTCCTTATGTACATGTATATGAGCAGGGTCATTTTCAAAACAAACAGCGATCATGAACTCCACATACCTGGAACTGGAAACTTAATTGCTATCAAATCTAGTTAATCATGAGAAAAATTGCGTCCTAGAATAACGATTTTGTTTAATAGATACCGGGTATTTTATTATCATTTAAACAAACTTTGAATGAAATCAATATGTCATTTTTTAAAATAATATCAAATAGATTTTTCTAAGAAATAAATCATAAATAATTATATATATGTTGTCGTTATGAATCGATGACATGCAGATTAATTAATAGAATTTCTTCAGCTGGGGGGAGGGGGGGTGTGTGGTTAAAAATTAATTGAAAGTTTTATATATCCAGTCAGTTAAATGCGACTGGTTCGTAATATTCCTTGAATGGCTGAGTTTTTAAATGACAGATTTTTACGATGTGGCAAACATTTATGTACATGTGAATATTGTTATGTGATGGTGTGTGTAGAATCCCCCCTCCCATATCTCGCGGCTCCTTTATCGTATGAAATTCTAATGTTATTGTTTTCTAATGTTATTGTATATGAAGTTTTACAATATAAGAATTCCATTCTGGTCCCATGCCAGAGACTTGGATATGCTTATCCTTTGTGAAGCTTTACAGATACACTGTAAAGTAGTTAGGTCCCGGTAATATAAAATGACCCTGGCCTTCTTCCTTGAGATTGAAAATAAAATTAAGGTAGTCTGCTTTAAACACTTTGTTTGTGTATACATACACGTACATATGTCTCTTCTAATAAATACCGACAATCCGTTAATTTGTGTATTTCAGAATCTCTTTCTTAACCTAGTTGTGCAATTTCATTATCTAGCTGTGCTATTTCTTTACCTAGTTGTGCTATTTTATTACCTAGCTGTGCTATTTCATTACCTAGCTGTCCTATGTCATTAACTGGCTGTGCTATTTCATTACCTAGTTGTGCTATTTCTTTAACTAGCTGTGCTATTTCATTACCTAGCTGTGTTATGTCATTAACTAGCTGTGCTATGTCATTAACTAGCTGTGCTATTTCATTACCTCGCTGTGCTATTTCATTACCTAGCTGTGCTATGTCATTAACTAGCTGTGCTATTTCATTACCTAGTTGTGCTATTTCATTACCTAGCTGTGCTATTTCATTACCTAGCTGTGCTATGTCATTAACTAGCTGTGCTATTTCAATACCTAGTTGTGCTATTTCATTACCTAGCTGTGCTATTTCATTACCTAGCTGTGCTATTTCTTTACCTAGCTGTGCTATTTCATTACCTAGTTGTGCAATTTCATTATCTAGCTGTGCTATTTCTTTACCTAGTTGTGCTATTTCATTACCTAGCTGTGCTATTTCATTACCTGGCTGTGCTATCTCTTTACCTTTCTGTGCTATTTCATTACCTAGCTGTGTTATGTCATTAACTGGCTGTGCTATTTCATTACCTAGCTGTGTTATGTCATTAACTAGCTGTGCTATGTCATTAACTAGCTGTGCTATTTCATTACCTCGCTGTGCTATTTCATTACCTAGCTGTGCTATGTCATTAACTAGCTGTGCTATTTCATTACCTAGTTGTGCTATTTCATTACCTAGCTGTGCTATTTCATTACCTAGCTGTGCTATGTCATTAACTAGCTGTGCTATTTCATTACCTAGTTGTGCTATTTCATTACCTAGCTGTGCTATTTCATTACCTAGCTGTGCTATTTCTTTACCTAGCTGTGCTATTTCATTACCTAGTTGTGCAATTTCATTATCTAGCTGTGCTATTTCTTTACCTAGTTGTGCTATTTCATTACCTAGCTGTGCTATTTCATTACCTGGCTGTGCTATCTCTTTACCTTTCTGTGCTATTTCATTACCTAGCTGTGTTATGTCATTAACTGGCTGTGCTATTTCATTACCTAGCTGTGCTATTTCTTTACCTAGCTGTGCTATGTCATTACCTAGCTGTGCTATTTCTTTACCTAGCTGTGCTATTTCTTTAAACAGATCACTCAGAGCCTTCCTTTTCTTCTGTCCAATGTGTTTAGCTTCAGACTTCTGTTTTTCTTTGTCAGCTGTCTGTAATCATTTATTGTGATATTACGGAAGTACATAGTATTACACTTAATACTTTAACAAATGTTAGGAAGAGATCATTCCAAGAAAACAAACCTGTGACACCTCTAGTTGTTGAAGTTCATGGATGGATTCAATGATTTCTCCTAAAAGTAAACGGACTTGGATATTAATCCTAATGTTAGATGTTTCAACATGTACAATGTATGCAAATTATGGAAGTGTCTATCCATTCTCATAATTTCTAAACTCTGTCTATTAATAACTTAGATATATATTTAAAATGACAAATCTTTTGAAAAGAAGTTTGGACTAGCAGTGAACTCAATTTGAACTTCTTAGAGCAAAAGCTATTCCTGAGTATACTTAACTATTGTATGACAGATTTGTTTTCTGAGCGTGATTAGAGACTGCATGTCAGCAAACTCGAGTGTTGTATACAGCCATATCAATCTGAACTTCTCTGAGTCTTAGTGATTCTAACTGAGTGAGTGTTTATTTACCTGTAAACTTATCAAGCCTGACAATAAGTTGGTCATACTTGAGCCTCTTTGTCAATGATTTCCAATTTGTTTACACATTCTGACCGATAACTGACCAAGCCGGCTGTGTAGACCTCCACGACCAAGAGCAGGTAACTCTGAAAGTGGTGGCTGAAACAAACCCAGGTAAGAAATATACGCACGCAGATTCACGCATAATTTGTTTTTTGGAAAATACTAGACCATCTAAAGTTGTGTTAACAAAATGTAATGCCTTAGTATGATACTCCTCTGAATCTTTTTGTTTTTCATTTTGGGCAAAAAAATGAAATAATTATAAACATTATGTTTTCTCTGTCTCACCTGTTCACTGACTTTGTGTGATATCAGACACTGCATAGCTGAGATGTATGTTTCTCTCCATGTTAGAGTTCTCTCCCTTTGACCAGTAGAATCTATACTGCTGTCTGGGTCTGCCAATATGCTCTGTACTGGTTGTTCTAAAACAACCTACAATAAAAGTAAGGAACAAAGAATTAGCATGTATATCTTTTGTAATTGACATCCAAAAAATCATAGTCCAAACAATATTTTCTCCTCTTTTACTAAATTTAAAACATACCTGGAAAGCCTTCATCTGTTTGTGCAATGTTCGATGTGTTTTCTCTGTTGTCTGTTTTAGGGCCCAGAAGTTCATGTCTGTCCAGCCGGCAATTTTTACAAACCCCTAAATTTTAAATGAAAGAGTTATGAATTGAAATGCCACATGTATGCCACATATTTATTACAGATTGATAAAATTATAATTGAATTGCAAAACCTTGAGCTCTTTTTCTATTGGTTGTCTCAGTTGTTGTATTTTTTCTTTGACCAATGGTAAGAACTGGCTGTAAAACTGATGGAGGTTCCAAAGTAAGCTCATCATGTCATCTACAAAACAGAAAGTAGTGATAAATAACAACTGAATTAATAAGGTAATAAAACACTGTATTTTGTGTACTCAATGTACAGAGAAAAGACATACATGTGGGTCTTGTTGTCAGCTGCGGTGAGTCAATTTTCCTTATTTTCACCATCTCTGGATCAGATAAAACACTTAATTAACAATTATCAAGACAAAATAAATCCTACCCTGTGACTGAGTTCTCCCTTCTGTGGCCTCAGTACAGAGATACATGGTTTGACAGTGAAAAGATCTCAGCATCCCTAGTCGGGCCTCAAATTCCCCTAGGTTGGACCTCTCCATGAACTCTTTCAAGGTCCGCATAACCTCTGACATGTCTCTCTCTTCTGTTTCTAAATTTTCTACACCCTCCTCCTAAAGAATAAGGATTAATGTAATGATATTAATACCTGTTTGGTTCTTTTTAGTAACCAAGACGTATTGACTTTCTGTATTCTAATCTAGACTTATGGTTTAAGGTAGTCAAATCCTCAGGTTCTGAAAATCAGGAATTGGTCAGGGATATAAATGTGACCTTTTTAGAAGAGCATTTCTAAGACTTCAAAGAACCTTGAATCAATATTGATATGTATGAATTGAAAATTTTTGCATGAAAAGATTTCAAATTTCAAGCTTCATTTTGAGAATTTTTTTAATAATATAAAAATTTATTCACTTTCCTAGCTGAGGAACAGATATCCTTAAATAAACTGCCATATATGGAAAGTTTTCTTACCTGTAGACAAGTTGCCTGTATTAGCTGATAAATATGAAACCACCATTTGCTGGCTTTCTTGGACTGCTTCACAAATGCATGGTCCAGGCACTGCTTCCAACAACTGCAAAATGAATATACTGTAAAATCTTATATTTGTGTGGGGACAAATTTTGTGGTTTTGGGGAAAATATTTCCAAGTCTAGCAGTTTAAGAGGTTGATACAGACTCAAAGTATGACATCCTCACAATGTCAAGGTTTTGTGATTTCGGAACTCCACACAACGCTACTGAGGAGTTCCGAAATCACAAAACCTTGACATTGTGAGGATGAAAGTATGAGTACAAACTTTAGCTCTAGATATTAAGAACCAGATGACGGCCTACCTGAGCTCTAGTTTTCTCCAGGCCAAAATCTGAGATGATACTTCTGCTAATTGTGTTGCCACAGAAACATGCTTAGCTGCATTGCTTTCCCATTCCTACAAAATATACCCCCAAATCACTCATAATTTAACCTCAGACAATTTCCATTCCAAATCTGGCGTATCCATGATAAAACTTCTTTGAGGCTTGCAACATTTGTTGATTTTATTAACCCAGTCAAAGAAGGTTGACTTACCTGAGTTTTCTCCAGCAGAAGTTCTAGACCTGTAAGGAACCTGACGACAGGTGATGTTACAGGGAACGACAGGATTCTGTTCACAATCTGTGTCACCTGTATAACAGAGGGACAGTAACAAAAGAGTTTAACAGGACAATCTGTGTCACCTGTATAACCGAGGGACAGTATCAAAAGAGTATAACATGACAATCTGTGTCACCTGTATAACAGAGGGACAGTGTCAAAAGAGTATAACAGGACAATCTGTGTCATCTGTATAACAGAGGGACAGTATCAAAAAGTATAACAGGACAATCTGTGTCACCTGTATTACAGAGGGACAGTATCAAAAGAGTATAACAGGACAATCTGTGTCACCTGTATAACACAGAGGGACAATGTCAAAAAGTATAACAGGACAATCTGTGTCACCTGTATAACCGAGGGACAGTATCAAAACAGTATAACAGACAATCTGTGTCACCTGTATAACAGAGGGACAGTATCAAAAGAGTATAACAGGACAATCTGTGTCACCTGTATAACAGAGGGACAGTATCAAAACAGTATAACAGACAATCTGTGTCACCTGTTTAACAGATGGACAGTATCAAAACAGTATAACAGGACAATCTCTGTCACCTGTATAACCGAGGGACAGTATCAAAAGAGTATATCAGAACAATCTGTGTCACCTGTATAACAGAGGGACAGTATCAAAAGAGTATAACAGTGCAATATGTGTCACCTGTATAACAGAGGGACAGTATCAAAACAGTATAACAGGACAATCTGTGTCACCCGTATTACAGAGGGACAGTATCAAAACAGTATAACAGGACAATCTGTGTCATCTGTATAACAGAGGGACAGTATAAAAACAGTATAACAGACAATCTGTGTCACCTGTATAACAGAGGGACAGTATCAAAAGAGTATAACAGGACAATCTGTGTCACCTGTATTACAGAGGGACAGTATCAAAACAGTATAACAGGACAATCTGTGTCACCTGTATAACCGAGGGACAGTATCAAAACAGTATAACAGACAATCTGTGTCACCTGTATAACAGAGGGACAGTATCAAAAGAGTATAACAGGACAATCTCTGTCACCTGTATGACCGAGGGACAGTATCAAAAGAGTATAACAGAACAATCTGTGTCACCTGTATAACAGAGGGACAGTATCAAAAGAGTATATCAGTGCAATATGTGTCACCTGTATAACAGAGGGACAGTATCAAAAGAGTATAACAGAACAATCTGTGTCACCTGTATAACAGAGGGACAGTATCAAAAGAGTATAACAGTGCAATATGTGTCACCTGTATAACAGAGGGACAGTATCAAAAGAGTTTAACAGGACAATCTGTGTCACCTGTATAACAGAGGGACAGTATTAAAACAGTATAACAGACAATCTGTGTCACCTGTATAACAGAGGGACAGTATCAAAAGAGTATAACAGGACAATCTGTGTCACCTGTATAACAAAGGGACAGTATCAAAAGAGTATAACAATACAAAATGTGTCACCTGTATAACAGAGGGACAGTATCAAAACAGTATAACAGGACAATCTGTGTCACCCGTATTACAGAGGGACAGTATCAAAACAGTATAACAGGACAATCTGTGTCATCTGTATAACAGAGGAACAGTATCAAAAGAGTTAATCAGGACAATCTGTGTCACCTGTATAACCGAGGGACAGTATCAAAACAGTATAACAGACAATCTGTGTCACCTGTATAACAGAGGGACAATACCAAAAGAAATAACAGGACAATCTGTGTCACCTGTATAACCGAGGGACAGTATCAAAACAGTATAACAGACAATCTGTGTCACCTGTTTAAAAGATGGGCAGTATCAAAACAGTATAACAGGACAATCTCTGTCACCTGTATAACCGAGGGACAGTATCAAAAGAGTATAACAGAACAAACTGTGTCACCTGTAGAACAGAGGGACAGTATCAAAAGAGTTTAACAGGACAATCTGTGTCACCTGTATAACAGAGGGACAGTATCAAAACAGTATAACAGACAATCTGTGTCACCTGTATAACAGAGGGACAGTATCAAAAGAGTAGAACAATACAATATGTGTCACCTGTATAACAGAGGGACAGTATCAAAATAGTTTAACAGGACAATTTGTGTCCTCTGTATAACCGAGGGACAGTATCAAAACAGTATAACAGAACAATCTGTGTCACCTGTATAACAGAGGGACAGTATCAAAACAGTATAACAGACAATCTGTGTCACCTGTATAACAGAGGGACAGTATCAAAAGAGTTTAACAGGACAATCTGTGTCACCTGTATAACCGAGGGACAGTATCAAAACAGTATAACAGACAATCTGTGTCACCTGTATAACAGAGGGACAATATCAAAAGAAATAACAGGACAATCTGTGTCACCTGTATAACCAAGGGACAGTATCAAAACAGTATAACAGACAATCTGTGTCACCTGTATAACAGATGGACAGTATCAAAACAGTATAACAATACAATCTGTGTCACCTGTATAACAGAGGGACAGTATGAAGAGAGTATTATGGTATATGTCTTAGCAAAAACTGTATAACAGAGGGACAGTATCAAAAGAGTATAACAGGACAATCTATGTCACCTTTATAATAGAGAGACAGCATCAAAAGAGTATAATAGGACAATCTGTGACAACTGTATAACAGAGGGACAGTATCAAAAGAGTAGAACAGGACAATCTGTGTCACTTGTATAGCAGAGGGACAGTATCAAAACAGTATAACGGGACAATCTGTGTCACCTGTATAACAGAGGGACAGTATCAAAAGAGTATAACAGGACAATCTATGTCACCTTTATAATAGAGAGCCTGTGTGACCTGTACAAGAGAGGAACAGTATGAAAAGAGTATTACGGTACATGTCTAAGCAAAAAATATATCAAGATCCTGTATTTCATATACATGCATTGTGCATTTTCCTCAGGAGTTTATACTTGATACATTAACATACTGATGATGTTTAACCTTACCTGTATTAATATTGGATGGTCAGGCCACTCCTCTTGAAGTTCTCTCACTCTGACCATCAGTCTTTGTAGTATAGGGACACAGTTAATGACCTCTGACAAGTTAGAATCATGGTAAACATCATAACCCTGGGGCGATGCTTTCTCGGCCTGGTTATCATATACAGGAGTTATCTCCTCTTGTAGTGACTGACTAGCCAGCAGGTGGTTCCCTAATGTCTGTGTTTCCACTTCTGACACTGTAAAGGAGAGAAAAATTGAAATTAAAAAAAAATATTATATACTTTTTAAATTCACTTACTGACATGAAATCTGCCTCAAAGTTGGTCATCAAATGTCTCTACTGAAAATTTGTACGATAAACTTACAGTTCCATTGCCCTCTATACAAAGGTGCAGCAATGCTATAGCACAGCAATGTTGGCTCTATGATGTCCTGGGTTGTGACCTCTGTCACATGATTTTGCTATTACCAATCAGAGGAAGACAGACTTGAGAACAGTTGCTGGTGGGTGAAGCTTACAGCAGTCACTTCTCTCTCTGTAACTCTATGGGGTGTATCTTCTATTTCAGGTTCCAAATGCTCAGAAAATCCAGTGTCTTCCAGAGAAGAAGGTGGTATCAAGTCTTGGAAATCCTATCAAAAATCAAGCAGATTACATGTATGTATATGAAACAACTTTTGCTCCATACTGAAGTTGATTTTGGCAAAAATATTGGATCATGCAATTACCAACTGCTTTAGAGCTAAATCATTTATTTACTTGTATTAAGTATATCAATGGTCAGTAGGATTTAATACAAATGCAGAATAACAATATCATTAATCCGATTTTCTTTCACTTTTTGAATACACATCTTACTATCATTCCAGGACTTTTAATATAGTCTTGTGCAATGACACCTTGACTAACCTGTTGAAAGGAAGGAAAATTCTGTCTGAATTCTTCCTCCTCTATCACCTCATTGTCTCTGTCATCACCGTGAAGTTTTGTCTTGTATTTATACAGACCCTCCCCAGCCTCTTTCTGACGTCGTATCTCCTCCTGTTGTTTCCATGGCAACATAAAACAATTGAAGATTTGGTGCAGAGACAACAGGATCTCTCTGTTCAATTCTTTTCTCATCATGGCTGAGTTTCGCAGTAAAAATTATTAATGCACCAAGGTACAGTCTGAAAATAATAGTAATTTAAAACAATACATAAAATGCAGAAGAATCTGTCACAGTCAAATATGCATACAAATAAAGGCCATATACATCACACATGTACATAGGCTACCAGGTTCATACCCTTAATATCACAACTAGTTATGTATCAAAGACACTTAGAAGGGGTCCTTGAAAAAATACATATTGGACAAAGCATATTAACTCCTTTAATGAGTACAAAGTTAATTTATCATGCCTGTAAAAGTTCATAGTCTTGTAAGTTATTAGGCTCCGTAAGAGGTCAAGTCAAGTGAAAATGTTATAAGGAATTTAAATCTTGTCGGTAGGTCAAGTGGAAGGAGGGAGGGATATTAACAATATTATAGAGGCAGTACTTTTCTTAACCAATGGAATTTCAATATTTGCCTATGAGGCAGGATAAAAATGTATACTTGTTAGTGTATACCTTGAAGTTTGGTCTGTCCTGTTCTCCTTCACCTGACCCCCACAACCTAACACCAGCCTCTCCACTAGCAGGATTTTCTGAGCTAGCTTTAAACTGCTGATCACATCTGATGAAATAAATGGGAATTTTTCTAAAGGCTGACCTGCTTCCTTGACGTGACCTATTGTCTCATGGACCTTGAGAAAAAAATCACACACTTCCATAATATCTCTGAGAAAATTCAAAATAACTGCATGCTACAACTAAATACCAGTAGATTTTTGAATTACGAAAGAATGTATCTTGTAATCGAAACCTATTCCATCATTAGAAGTGCTTTCCTACCTGACTGGTCACCTTCAGTCTTTCTGTCAGTTAATTGTTGAGCATTGTACGCTTCTTTGACACAGCCAGCAATAAGCCTTATACCACATCTCACCTAAAATAAAGAAGTAAGATCTCATGTATACCTTACTTTTACAGTTGCATTTATAGGGGTCTCTACATCATCACAGTATGTATGACTTCTACATTAAATCTGGTGACCGTTCATAAATATTGAGATTTTCATTTGGAAGAAAGAGCAAGCCTTGCAGAAGACAGCTCCAGGTTTGTGGAAACAGAAGGGACTCAAAAACTTGTGGTTTACCATGATGATGCACTGAATTCTGGCATCAGGTCTAACCTTTATATTCACTCACCTGTTGGAGGGCGACTATGAAGGGTGTGGTGATGTCTCTGTACAAAGGGAACTCCTGCTCTAGGGAGCTGACCAATCGCTGGTGAGTTTTCTGCCAGGTCCTCTCTTCTGCAATCTCACTGGTTAATTCTCCAGATTGGCAAACCCTTAATAATTTTTCCATTAGCTGAATTTTGTGAGTGACAGATCCATTGGTGTTAACAAAGTCCCTTATCATACTCATAAGTTGTTTGTACTGCAATGGAGGAATGAATTTCAAAGTGACAATAAATTCAATCCTTAACTACTGTTTCACAGGCACGGCTAAAATTGTTAACAAGAGGCCCAAGGGCCTAAACAGTCACCTGAGTATAATACAACAATTTAGAAGATCCATAGCATATAAAATAAACTGATAGATGAAGCTTTGTTGCCCAAAAGCAAGAGAAATAGGATGATAAGAATCAATGAAATGATTAGTCTAGTATTTAGTAACAACTCATACATTAAATTCTAATTAAATATCCCCCATTTAGCACTATCACCATGCAGACTATTAACAAACTATTAGTTCCTCTGTACTACTTTTAACCCCACATTGTGACCTCTCACATTGGCCTCTTTTGGTCTTTGAAGAACATTTAATAAAGTTATTTTTGTCTCATTTTTATCTATTTATTATTTACAAGTCTACCTGATCCTTTAAACTTTGAAAGTACTTTTTGTATTATTCAATAAATTTTTTTGCATAATTCTCTTATTCTATTAACTTTCAAATACATTATTTACAGTGATTAATTATCAAAAGTAAATGGCAAAGGGGAATAACTTCTCTCAGTTGAATACAAATTGATAGAGCCCTGACTAGGACCAGAACACTTGACCAAATGGTCCTGATGTTCAAAAATCTGGTAAAAATATCCTTGCTTATTAAAACTTTAATTCTGTTTGCCTTTGATATGCCAAGGAGCAGAGAATATTTTCAAAGAAATAATGCATTTTCACTACAGATTCAACATACCCTTACCCTAACACTAAAACCCATGTCCCAGGATCATGAAATTCATTAATTTGGTAGAGGTACCCTCTTCATCATAACTATGCACTTAGTTGAAGATTTTCATAGATTTAAAACATTTTCATTTTATTAATAAATAATATATTAAGTATTAATAAATCCTTTTTCACTATATGATCAATAGAGCCCCACCCTAACACCAGAACCCCTGTCCCTGGGGCCATGAATTTCACAATTTTAGAAAAAGCATCCTTGTGTATCATAACCATGCACTTAGTTTGTTTAAATAATACCCAGGAGCAGAGAAGAAGATTTTCAAAGAATTAATGCATTTTACTTTATAATCAATAGAGCCCCTCCCTACCACCAGAACCCCTGACCCAGGGGCCATGAAATTCACAATTTTGGAAAAGGCATTAATGCTTATCATAAGCATGCACTTAGTTTGTTTATATAATATCCAGGAGCAGAGAAGAAGATTTTCAAAGAATTAATGCATTTTCACTATATAATCAATAGAGCTCCACCCTAACACCAGAACCTCATGTCCCTGGGGCCATGAATTTCAAAATTTTGGAAAAAGCATCCTTGTGCATCATAACCATGCACTTAGTTTATTTTAATAATAATCAGGAGCAGAGAAGAAGATTTTCAAAGAATTAATGCATTTTCACTATATAATCAATAGAGCCCCGCCCTACCACCAGAACCCCTGACCAAGGGGCCATGAAATTCACAATTTTGGAAAAGGCATCAATGCTTATCATAACTATGCACTGAGTTTGTTTAAATAATACCCAGGAGAAGAGAAGAAGATTTTCAGGGAAATAATGCACTTTCACTATATGATCTATATAGCCTCGCCCTAGCACCAGAACCCCTGGCCCTGGGGCCATGAATTTCACAATTTAGGTAGAGGGCCCAATGCTTATTACAAACATGCCAACAGTTTGACTACTTGATGTTTAGGAGTAAAGAAGAGGATTTTTAAAGATTGTATCAATTTTGTTGGTTTTAGCCCAAACCCTGGGGCCCCGGGGGGGGGGGGGGGAGGGGCCATGAAATTCAAAATTTTTCTTCCCCTTCACCCAAAAATGCTATATGCCAAAATTGGTTGAGCGGTTCTTGAGAAGAAGTTGAAAATGTTCAAAAGTTAACGCACGACGGACTACACACGACAACAGACAAAAATGGATAGCAATAGGTCACCTGAGTGACTCAGGTGATGTAAAAATGATAACAGCGTCATATAATTAATTTATAGTCATCATATTAATTATTAATTCTGAAATATACATCCATAACCTGACAGGTGCTTGTTCTGTAGGCCTGCTGGGACTGTAAGGCTTCTGTCTCTGTAACTTCTCCCTCCTGTCAATCAAGTTGAGGATCAAAGGATGTTGTAGGCGGGAGGGCGTGTCCTGCAGATGTAGACCTGTCATTTGTCTGTGATGGATGACCTTGACCTCAATGTATTTATTAATCTCCTAAACTTAATTTTATTTCCAATTACTTTAAAAATCATCATTACCTAACATAATTTTGCAAAAAAGTTAATATTGAATAGCAGAAAGGAAATTCCAGACATTTTTAAAAAAAAATTTCTATGCTCTTAATCTATGTTCCCCAGTTTGCCTTACCTCCCTTTGTTTGAGTTGTAGTTTGATCAGTGTCTTGATTACAGGATCCACAGGCGACCTAGGTCTGTGGAGGAGCATGCCCAGTAGACCTACATACACACACAGTCTCCCTACTGTACTCATATCAGTCACATCATCAGATACTGCAAGTATTCCACTCAAACACTCCCTGACTATAAATAGATCAGTCCCCATAACTCCGTACAGGAGATCTGTTATGGTTTGGATTATTTGTTCACTGTCCCTGTGAGAGAAGGTTCTGTTTTGGAGGCATGTGATAAACTCTGGCACACTTTGTTTGTATTTGTCCTCCAATTCCTTTGTTTTAAACATTGTCACAGTGGAGTAAAGTATTGATATAAACACGTGGATGATTTGCTCCCTCAGCAGTTTCCTAATAAAACAACGAATAAATTCATATAGTTTTCAATATTTAATCACAAAAAATAATTCAATTCTTTAAATGCAGGAAGCTTGTGAACACACACAATATAAAATTAAATTAGAAACTGTTGAAAACTGAACTAGTTTTGAGATTCCCATTATACAGCACTGAACCTTGAGACTAGATGTGCTGTGACAGAATCTTTAGTTTGTGTAGCCTTGTTTTTAAGTCTCTCAGGGGTACATCAACAGGAAGATGTCTGTCATGTGATGATTTCTGTGTTCCCTCATATTCTCCACACATCAGGTGGTAGGCAGCCTGGCTTAAAACTGCCTTCTGAAGACTTTCTGGAACCTGTAATATTAGTGAAAAAGTTTAAATGAAATGCAACTTGTATCGAAACATTTTGACCTCTAGCTGGATTTCAAGCTTAAGATAACTTCATAGGAGTGGATCAAGAGAAAACAATAATACATAAAGGTTGGAGTCCTTTTTATTGAGAATTGTACAGTAATACCACAAATTGTAGATCAAATTGAATTTTGCTTGACATCATATTTTTGCGAGTTAGCTGTTTGGTATTATAAGGGAAACAAAATCTTTACCAACTATAATTGTTGTATATAATCCCTAACAATACAAATATATGTGAGTGAATTTTTTGTAAGCAAGCAGTCTTGCATAACTACACGAAAATGAAATTCCAGCAAATAACAAGAGGCCCAAGGGCTTTAACGGTCACCTGAGTACAATACAACATTACAATAATTTAGAGGATCCATAACTGATAAATGAAGCTTTGTTGCCCAAAAGCAAGAAAAATATTATTATTAGCAAAATAATAGGTCTAGTATCTATCTGTCTCCCATTTATCACTATTACCATGCAGACTATAAACAAAACCCCCTTATTATTACTTCTCACATTGGCCTCTCTTGGCCTTTGAAGAACATTTAAAAAGATAAGTTAATTTTGTCTCATTTTTATTCATCTATTATTTCCAAGTCTACCTGATCATTTAAACTATTAAAGTACTTTTTGTATTATACAATAAATATTTTTGCATAATTTTTGTATTCTATTAACCTTTCAAATACATTGTTTACAATGATTACTTATCAAAGGTGAATGGCAAAGGGGAGTAACTTTGCTCGGCAGAATACAAGATAAAAGAGCCTTGGCCGGGACCAGAACACTTGACTAAATGGTCCAGGTGTTCAAAATTCCGGTAAAAATACCTTTGCATATTCAAACTTTTACTCTGTTTGCTTCGAATATGCCCAGAAGCCTGATTGCATCATTGAACTTTTTCTAATTCATCCTTTAATACCTTATCCACTTGGTCAACCCATTCAGTATGTTGATACTTCTTTAACAATGTTTCTTATATGACTTCTTACTAAAATGCATGAATTAATTTCTAAGTTTAAAACCAATATATGAGCACAATGACAATATATATATATATATATATATATATATATATATATATATATATATATATATATATATATATATATATATATATATATATATATATATATATATATGAACTTCTTATTTTGAAACCAGGTCTTTTATTTATCAAATGATAAACACTTCTAAAATATAAGGGACCAGCCAGTATGTTTAACATCATTATCCCCTTCAAGCTACCATTATGTTATTTAAATCATTGCACAGTTTTTTTCTCTTTAACTATTGCACCTGTGAAAAGACTGGAGATTTAAATGTTTTTGTTTGAAGCAGGAAGTAAACTGCATTCTACCTGGACACACGTCATACATTACAAATGGCCGACACCAATCTTGACTGGTAAGGTATTGTGAAAGAGATTCATTTACCAGATCACAGAAAAGGTAAGAGAGTTAGTAAATCTCCTCTTTTGAAAATTGAGTGTAGTATGTGTTGTAAGCTATACCCATTTATAAGTGTCATACCTTTATTATGGTAATAAATGGGGTTCTTTTTAGAGTTTTGATCAACAATAATGGACCAAGTACCAGATACAGCCCAGCACTTTATTGAGTGTGACACGGAATCCTGTAGGAATTCCTCCAAGTTCTACTGCAATAACTGTCATCAGCGAATCTGTGACCAATGCAAACAGTCGCATCTAGAACAGAACATTGGACATGAGATTGTCCTCTATCAAGAGAGAAAGAGAAAAGTTCCTTCAGAGAAATGTAGGATCCACCCCACCAAAAATATAGATATTTACTGTACTGATTGCCAGGATCCTCTTTGTTCTACATGCTTTGTCCTACATCACAGAAATCATGATACCAGTGACCTTGAAACCATCTACAATGACATTTTACAGCAATGTCAGAAGGAAGTTACTGATATCTGGAAAACAGACATTCCTAAGGCTAGAGATAATGTTGAGACATTTGAAGAAAAAAGAGAAAATGTCAAGAAAGAAATTGCCATTGTAAGAACTTCCATGAAGGAGAGAGCAGATGAACTGAAGAAGGCTGTTGATAGTATACTTACTGATAATAATAAAAAACTGGATGAGATCGAGAACTCTGTCCTTAATGAAATGGTAGAACAACAGAAGGAAACAGAGGACTACATAAAGTACCTAGAAAAAATGATTGTAGACTATGAGAGTAAAATGTCATCAATAAAACCCACTGAATTAATAATTTTCCATAAAAATATTTCATTTGCTTTCTTGAAGATGCCTAACAAAGCAGAACCCAAACTACCAATTTTTACACTAGGTACAATTAACAAAGAAGAAATAGCCAAACAACTTGGTGAAATTGAACTTGAAAGGTTTAAGCTTTCTTCTGTTACAAAAGTAAGTGAAGTAACTATCCAAGGACAAGGAACTTCTCATTTGTCTCCCTTGCCTCCCAACAGATTTTGGGCCACTGAAGGCTCGGGGAATCTCATTCAGTCTGACATGGAAGGAAACATCTTACAGAAAATATCCACCAGTATGTGGTATATCATAGGTAACCACACAGTCACAACAGAGGGAGAACTACTTTACACAGATAACAATGAAAACACTGTCTACAGAGTTACTAGTTACATGTCCATCACCAAATTTATTGAGACAGGGAGCTGGGTACCTGTAGCCATTTATTCCTCTCCTATCAATGGACACATATTGGTCGGGATGACAACAAATTTAGACCAGAAAATAACCAGATACAACAGAAAAGGAAGGCAGTTACAGGACATTCAGAGGGATGATAAAGGACAATCTCTCTACAAAAGTGTTGACTATATCACACAGAACATTAATGGTGACATTTGTGTATCAGACTTGAAAGCCAAAAAGGTGGTGGTGGTGACTGCGTCAGGAAAGTACCGGTTCTCTTACTCTGGCCTCCACGCTCAGTCTGGATTCCGGCCTCATGGAATTTGTACAAATGTTCTGGGACACATTTTGGTGTGTAATGGCTATTTTACACTAAACGAGAATTGCTCTGCTGTCCACCTGCTGGATATTAATGGTCAGTTCCTGTCTCTCCTACTCACACCAGATCATTGTCCTCTATGTCCCTGTGCTCTCTGTATTGATAATCAACACAACCTCTGGGTCGGAGGATGGGATAGTTCTACTATCTCTGTCTACACGTATTTGCAAGAGACAGAAAAATAATATTTTATATACATCATTGCTTATGCTGGATCATTTTGTGTCACAACACCTGTTGGCGTGAGCTCGGTAACATTAAATAAAACAGTTTGACAAATGAATACTTGGTTTTGAAATTATGTTTTCCTGGTGTTGTTGCCATGCAATATCTTTTATTAGTCCCCTACCGGTGAAACCGGAGGGGACTTAAGTTTCCTCTGAGTCTGTCCGTCCGTCTGTCTGTCTGTCCCTCTGTCTGTCCGTCTCTCTGTCTGTCTGTCCCTCTGTCTGTCTGTCAGTCTGTCGCACTAGGTTTTCCGCACTATTTTCCTAAACGCTTGCAGATATTGAGCTGATTTTTGGTATGTGAGTGTATCTTGATGAGTTACAGATCAAGTTTGCATTTCGTTTCGCTTCATTGATTTTTGACTGAATTACGGCCTTTTCAATTTTTACGGGTTTTCCGCAATCTTCTTCTGAACGCTTGTAGATATTGAGCTAGTATGTGGCTTTACCTTGATAAGTTACAGATTAAGTTTGCATTTCGTCCCGCTTCATTAATTTTTGACGGAATTATGGCATTTTCAATTCTTAACGGGAACCAGATTACACTTGCCGGTAGGGGAGTAGTATTGTTAATGCAATACTCTCAGAATGCTTGTTGAATATATCAATCATTTTTGTTTCAAGCGTGAACAAGTTGAAGAGATGCTAATTTAGTTTCAATTAAGTTGGACAATGCATTAAAATTAATATTCACACAACAAGACTAGTATGTATTTCATTATCTGAATGTCATATCTTTTGCATTTGCTTCATCATGTTAATTGTACACTATTTTTATCATCCTAACAAATAGCCTTATAATAATTATTAGATAATTATTATATTGAACTTCAAATGTGATTATCACAAAAATGTTCAATACTATATCCTAAAAAGTTGTGATAAACTTTGAACATGCATTGTTACATAAAATTATGTATTTTATGATCATTTTTGAAAAATAACCAAACATACATGATTATTTTTTCATAAAAGATGCATTTAATAACATTTACATACTCATGTATGAATCTATTTTTTTTTTTTTTTTTTTTAAATGATGTATACCCTATTATGCAGTTTTACATTTAAATTAAGGTGAAATATCCCTCTGCTCCAAATTTCCCCATTTTGTTCTTTAAATTCCCAACATTGATTTTCATCCACAACCTAAAGCATTAGACTCAAATGGAAAATAGTTTGAAGGATGAAGCATTGCTTATTTTTTTCAGAAATGAATATTATGTCTAATCATGAAATGAAGAAAATTTGATATGGTGAATAGAAAGATCAATAATTTTTCATCTCAGCATTAAATTAAAAATATGAGGTACTGCAGAAGCACAATTTTTCTGGGGAGATATAATTCTGTTGATCTGTCATCTAAAAAAGTTTTCGTGGGCATTAAATTTCGTTATTTCCAAAATAACCCTATTCAACATATAGTCATATAAAAATTTCGTGTGGGATTGAAATTTGTTGCTAATTGTTAGCAACAAAATTAACGAAATTAAATCCCCAACGAATATTTCTGCTTTTACAGTATATATGAAATAATATGTACTATCATACCTATCTAATTCACTTTAGAAAACATAATAAAAAGTTTTGCTTTTTAAATCGAAAATCACTTTGTTTTCTGTGCTGCCTTGTAAAATAATACATCCATCTACAAGAGTTATTTTTCAATTTTCAGGTTTTATTATTATTCAAAATATTTTTTTAGCGATAAATATATTACTTAAGGGGATGAAGGACACATGGTCACATGACTCTGTTTAACTACGTCATAGTCTCCGTTTATATATGTGCAAAATGTGTAAAGCATCAGTTCTTGTATAAATTTTTGACAATTGTTTTAACTTTAATTACCATCTTATATAAAAAAAAAATTAAAAAAATTTAATATTCGTGTAAACATCATCAAATTATGATAAAGATTGATCCACTCCTCTGTTTCCCTAAACTGCGCGTCCAACAAGTCGGTGACATCATATACGATCTGTTAGTACAGCAAAATCATACTCGGTGAACACAGGGGCGGTATTATTATGTAAAAACAGGTCATAATCAGTATATGATGAAATATTTTGAGAAACGGGGAACACAAAAATTATTTTTGCATGGCTGATGACGGAAATCTTATGTAGGTATATCTTATTTCACTTATTTAGCTTACATGTGACGTCATAGTTGGTTTTTCCCGTACTCGAGAAATGTAACATGACACGTTTTTGTCATGCTTATGTCCTCTTTAACGATTTCCTGAGCAATATTGAGGTCAGCTTCACCATTCGAAATTTTTACAGTTAATCAATAATTTAAAGGATTTGCATTTCAACATAAATTAAAAAATATTGAATGATAGAATTTTTTGTAAATTATGTTTTTTTATTGTTTAAATTGTCTTAAACAGTGTGTAATTTTCCCTATCTAGATGCAGTGTGATAGACAAAACTTCCTTTTTCGAATTTTAAATCCTAGTTATACTCTGAAATATTTTAAAAAATACATGTCCACGTTGATATTTTTATATATGCTTAAAATTCCCATTATGGACATAGTAATGAGCCCGGAATCATGGAGAATTAAAACTCCACTTAGTTACTGTAGGGCATAGTATTTGTCAATCAATATCTCCAAAATAAAGTAAGAAACCTAATGATATAACTGCTTTGAGATATGTAGGACATACTTAATTAGAAATATACAAAATATGAAAAAAATTGAATGACAAGTACTTTTTCAGCTCAAGGTCCTTCTCCTCCTTAATTGCTTATAAAAATTCTGCATCTTAAATTTCTGTTACAATTAAAAGAATTATATGTTAAGAGATAGAAATATCTCAATTTTAACAGTTTAAAGGAACTGGGTATAAATGTTTTCGGTAATTATAAGTAATTAACATTAATATCAGCAATAGAAAATAGAAATCAATATTTGTAACTTAGTACGGAATTGAATGAGTTGACTATATAATGGTCCTCATTATTAAACTTTGGTAAGACAATTCACTGGGTTGCTTGGAATAATTTCCTTGGAAAGTTATCTCTCTTATCAAAGGATATTACACCTTAAATGGTTTTGTTTCTATAGATTTGAGCTTTTCATCAGAAAGTTTTATTTAACAATACTTTGGCTTAATTTACTAAATGTAGATTTCGTTACATTACAATTTTTTTTTCCAAAAAAAAAATCTTCCCTTCTACTCAGGACTGAATTTGCCATTTTGCTGTCAAATCAGCCATACTTCTGAAACAGTTGATGAGAGCTTTACGTCCTTCCTCTCGATCATCCTCACATTCAGCCTCAGCTAAAAATGCTGCTATCATAGTACCATAAGAAATGGCCCTGAATCATAGTACCATACGAAATGGCTCTGAATAAGGCTCTTGCTAAATTGTCAATTCGCCGAAAGTCATTGTCTAACTTCTTATGAAAATGAGAGAGATTATTGCCCTGTTCACACTGAGAGTTTAATTCAAATTAAATGCAAGTTACTGTTAATTAAGTTAATTAATTTTGAACCACATTCACACGGAGAATTTAATGCGAATTAGTTTAATTAAGAAATAAACAATAATGTTAAAAAGTTCTCTTGGAAATGAACTTGGTTGGTCACGTGATCAAATCCTGTGAAGCCCGATTTGCTATGTTGTGACGCGCAATGACCTAGAAGCTGTTTGGTCTTGAGAGTTCGCCTCGCTCCAACATTTGAATACTTACATTGATGTTCAGCAGTCCAGTTCCGGAAATATATGTTCATAATGAAAAAAAAAAAACAATGATCGCTACTGAGAATAATCTTACTATTACATGTATTGTATGGGTTCTTAATATATGAAGTCAAAAGCGGTGGTATCGTCTTTAGTTTACATACCTTCAAATGAATTTCGGGTTAAAAAGGTAAGCATGATTTTAACATTCTTCACACCGAAGAAAGAACTAATGATCATTTGTTGAATGAAAAAAAAACCCATGTATGTTTCAATTATATAATATTCTTATATAATAATATAAGAAAAATATTTGCAAATTTAAATAATTCGAATTAATTTACTTTATTTACATTTGCAAATATTTTTTCTTAGATGAACCTATTGAAGAGAAAATATGTTCAATTCTGTATGAACTTATTAGGGGGTCAGAGGTCATGGCGTGACCGAATCACACAGCGAGATGATATCTTGTCTACATATTTCCGTCCCCGTGACACTGGTTTCGGAACTTCTAAGCCGTTAAAGCGATGCAAAAGATAAAATTATTGAAACATATATGTTTTTTTTTTCGTTCAACAAACGATCATTAGTTCTTTCTTCGGTGTGAAGAATGTTAAATTCATGATTACCTTTTTAACCCGAAATTCCTTTGAAGGTATGTAAACTAAAGACGATACCACCGCTTTTGACTTCATATATTAAGAACTTATACAGTAATAGTAAGATTAGTCTCAGTAGCGATCATTGTTTTTTCATTATGAACATATATTTCCGGAACTGGACTGCTGAACATCAATGTAAGTATTCAAATGTTGGAGCGAGGCGAACTCTCAAGACCAACAGCTTCTAGGTCATTGCGCGTCACAACATAGCAATACGGCGGGCCGTTCGTGTAATAAATGCAATTCTTTTCAGAATATTCGTCTCAAATGTAAATAAAAGTAATAAACAACAATGTTAAAAAGTTCACTGGGAAATGAACTTGGTTGGTACGTGATCAAATCTTCTGAGAAGCCCGTCGGGCTTCACAGGATTTGATCACGTGACCAACCAAGTTCATTTCCCAGAGAACTTTTTAACATTGTTGTTTATTTCTTAAGTGCATTAAATTACTTCACATTAGCTCCAAGTGAACACTAAGCAAAGCTAATTCGAATTTAAATTTTGACGCATGCATGAGGACAGAATTAAGTCAAAGGCCACATGTCGGTGGTCAGATATTGGTACTTGTGCTATTTTTGTGCGGAAAACAAAGGAAAA